CTTAACAGCTAATCTAACCTGTTAAAGCAGGAAAACAACTGAAACGTGCTGGATAGCAGCTCTCCAGGAGCCCTGGGCTCAAGTTAGTCTGCTGCATAGAAAGTTATGAAACTACCCCATGAGAAAATTATTCTGTAATGTGTTCAGCCCACTAAAACTGCCCTGATTTCATTATTTATTTACGGATACCAGCTGCTCTCTTGGTCGTAGGTGATCCTCTGGTGTCTGCAGCTGGTCTCCTGCTGGTGTCGTCAGGATCAGGAGCTTCCAGAAGAATTTGCCTTTCAATGACTCTTTCCCCCTTATTTGTTATATTAATTAAATAAATCTCAATTGATATATTTCCTGTTTTTGTTCATGTCCATAAATACTTAAACATGCTTGAAATTAAAACGAGCTTTTAACAGTGAGGTGCTAGTTTAATTCATCACAATAGAGCTAGTTAAACATGCAACAATGTGATAATTCAATTAATGTAATTTATAAATATCCATTAAAATATAAAATCTGGAATCAAAATGAGACATTTGGCAGCACAAAAAACTTGTCAAACACAATATTTATTATAATAATTGTAGGCAGACAGGAGACAGAGCTGATGGAGGTTCTCAGTCATCGAAAGATGGCTGAAGGCTTTCCAGGAACAGGAGATGTGGTGTTGTCTCTTCTCTCTCTATTCTGCCAGATGAGCTGATAGGTTACAGGTGTGTGAGGACATCCTCATGCTGTCATAACCAGATGACAGGAGTTATCAGGTGATCAGCCAGGCTAATGATGAGATGCAGAAAGAAAACAAATTCAGGACAGTGTACAATATGTGGTGTTGCTCACCTTATGTGCTCTTATAAGTATTAACGTGTGCCTGCCTCATGGTGTAGAGTCTATATTTTGCTGAGTGTCCTGCAATAATGCAGGTTATTAGTTAATTTACGTTTGATAGCAAAAACTAAATATTTAATGTAGAAGTTATTTACCAGGTGAATCAGCTCACACGTCACCACCAAGTGTCACAGGGGCAGAATCAGTAGGCTCCTTCATGATGTCATGATGTAATCACATACTTATTTAATTGTTAATATCTTAAAAATTCTGAAATGTTTTAATTTTTTTTTTTTTTTTTTACCTTGAACAGTTCACTGAGCTTGCACTGTCACTGAGGTGGAAGCTGGAATCAACAGCAGACACCTCACATCTTGGTCTTTTCAGGGGTGTGGACGCTGCTCTGGGACTTTCTGGAAGATGAATTTCCGTCATGGTCCCTGTGTCACAAGACACACAGCGGCTGTGAGCTCTATTCTGGGTGGCTATGTAAAAAACAAAGAAGTAGCACATTTATAAATGTTTAAAAGAGCATAAAATCACGTGTAACAATAATCTGTAAAACAAATTAAAACTAGAAGGTAATAATAAAATGTTTACATAGAAGATTATTAAAAATAATTCACCTTTGCTACAGGGAAGGCTTCATGTCAGCCTGGACAAGTGCATTCTTGCAGATTACTAAATCAGTCTGACAGCCAGTGTCTTGGGTAGATTTAGCCTGAAAAAAAAATACAAGCACATTGTTGTTGGAGTTTATAAAGTCAGATAATATACAAAAGAAACATATAGGCGCTTTATAACATTCCTAGTGTGTGATCGTTATTCTAACGTAAAAGTCAGTCACACATGATGTGGAGAGCCTGAAATGCGACCTCCTGAACAGAATTCCTCACGGAACCGGGTCACAAGCTGGATTTCACGCTGTAATGCTGCCTGTCAACTAGTGCTGCGTTAGTTAGTCACTGTTGCAGAATTACCGACTGACACAAAAGCAACCCGAATTTTCTCCAAGCCATGTGGACCGTTTTGTTGGCCAGGGCTTCGAGATATGATCCAATTCGCCGCTGATTCCAACCTTACATCCCGTTCCACATTTTGTGAACTTGACAAATCTGCCCGAAGGCAGTGCAGGCTGATATTAGCTAAATGGAGTGAACCACGTCTCTCAAACTTTGCATTTAGGTAGGGAATTGTCTTTAGAAGATGTTAAAACGTTTATTTAGCTTACTCACCTCAGACTGGAGCCCACCATGGTGGGGGAGCAGAGTCGGTGGACTGCATCTAAATCGCGGAAGAGCCACGGTGGGCACAACCTCACTCTTCAAACAGAGACGTGCAGAATCGCGGGTACTACAGCACCAGGCGGGAGCTGAATGTTTTCCAGACACCGATTGCGCTCAACCACTGGCGCCTAATTTCTAAGTCCAGCGGAAAGGAGTGCAACCCCACAGAGCCACCGCAACCACACTACACTACACCTTCTCACCATACTAACGCGATATGGAACACTAAACCTGAACTACTTTCCTAATTACACTAACAGCCAAACACTAACTAAACTACAATATCCAACAGCCAAGCTAACACTAAATAAGTATGTATAACACTAAAAGCTATGCTATAAAGACTAGGATATGCTAATGCTATATGCTAATGCTGAACTACGGCTAACCTCCTACACTCGCTTGCAAATCCAACTCCTAACTCTCCACAAGGCGTGGCCGAGACGCTCGTTGCTTTTATAACTTTGAGACAGAGTTGCTACGTAGTACTCTACTGGTTTACGTAGTATCTTACTCTTTAGCCATTGGCTAAAATTTATTCAAAATGACTCAAATTCTATGTTTTAAGCTGAAGGTGGCGCTATACTGTGGTATTTAGGCAGAATTTTTAATTTTTAAAGAAAATGCACCAAAATGCTAAAATAATGAATACACACATTTAAAACACTATTAGACACTCATTTATACAGTTCATCAGCAAAAAAAAGTTAATTTAGACGTTACTTGCTCTTTAAGCCTCCAGAGAGATTGAATCTTTAATAGTGCATGAAAGAAGAAAAAATGTTTCTTTTTTTGTGGAACAAAGGGGGATGTAGTGATAACTGTTATGGCTCTGCCCACAAGGGGGCGGTATTAGATTATCTATTTAAGGGTAGAGTGTTGATGAGGTGAATGACAGACAGCTAGTGAAGAAGAGAAATAAACATCTTTTGCATAGAACATGAAACATCATGCTTAATTCAAGAAACATTACAGTCACTGGACCTCGGGGACCTGCTAGGGGTGTAGGGACTGAGAAGATCACCAATGTAAGATGGTGCTTGTCCATGTAAGGCCCTATAGACCAGAACCAGGATCTTGAAATGAACCCTGAAGTTGACTGGCAGCCAGTGAAGCTGGAGGAGAAGCGGGGTGATGTGGGTGTGTTTGGAGGACTTGGTCAGAAGCCGAGCACAGACATTCTGAACCACCTGTAGACGGTTCAGGGAGGTTCTGCTCAGACACGTGAAAAGAGAGTTACAGTAGTCTAAGCATGAGGAGATGAAGGTGTGGAGAACTGTCTCAAGTTCAGAGCGGGACAGAATGGGACTCAGCTTAGCAATGTTCCTGAGATGGAAGAAGGAAGAGCCAACAAGAGAACTGACATGAGAATCCAGCTTGTCTGGGGCACAGATGAGGATCTCAGTCTTATCTTCATTCAGCTGTAGAAAGCTCCCAGCCATCCAGGTTTTGATAGAGTCTAAGCAGGTGTGTAACAGCTGCAGCTTAGACATCTCATGGGGCTTAAAGTAGATGTACAGTTAGATGTCATCTGCATAAAGATGGTAGGAGATTCCTTTGAAGGAGCTCAGGATGTGCTGAAGAGGAAACCGATAGAGGAAGAGCAGAGGCCCCAGCACAGAACCTTGTGGGACACCATGGGTAAGATAGGTGGTGGAGGACCTAAACTTGGAGACGGCCACAGAAAAGGAACACTCAGAGAGATAAGAGGAGAACCACTCCAGAGCAGATCCTGATAGGCCTACCCAGTCTCTCAGCCTCTCCAGTAGCAGGTGATGGTCAACAGTGTCAAAGGCTGCAGTCAGGTCCAGCAGGACCAGAACAGAACAGTCCCCTGCATCACTGTGGGTCAGAAGGTCATTAGAGACCCTAAGAAGAGCTGTTTCAGTAGAATGAGCTCTACGAAAACCTGACTGGAAGCTATCATAGATGTTATGTTCATCAAGAGCAGCTGTGCGTTGTTTAGCCACAACCTTTTCCAAGATCTTGGAGATGAACGGAAGTTTAGAGATGGGTCTGAAGCTGCTATGGAGAGGGGGGTGTCTCACTGCAGCGTGTTTTCCCTGACTGGTTGATGACAGATCAGCAGCAGCTGGCACCACTCAGACACTCCACCTGCAGTTAGAAACTCTGAGTGAAAACACACAGACAGGCTCACCCAGACCGTGACATAAAGGCACGCTAGGCAGTTTAGGTTTGCTTTTAGCACCCCCTAGTGTCCATTTGTGGAACTGAAAGTAAAAGTTATCTACTTGTTAAAATAGTGTATCACTGCAGACTCAGAGACCTCGGGTTCAGGCCGAGTTTCAGGCCTGTATTGTATTTGAGACAGCGCCCTCTAAAGGATGTATGTTTAGTTGCCACTGTAGATTAAAATGCCTTTAAATCATGTTCCATGTGTAAAATTTTATTAGAAATTAAAAAATATGAGAATTTTTTTAAAGCAACATAAAATTACTTAGTTGCTGGTGAAGCATTATATAAAACTATTAAATAATCTGCCAGTCTTGTTCCATCTAATATCTTTTTTTGTGCGTTACTTTACATACACACAGTGGTGGTGCATGGCTCCTCAATCCAAATGTACGACAGAAATGTCAGCACATTCTTCGTTTCTGCTGCCATCAGGATTTTACATCTACAAGTTCTGGAGGAGCTGCCAGACTTAAATTTTCCGTTGGGATCAATAAAGTTTAACTTAATTAATCTTTGAGACTTTAGTGTTAGTTTTAGTCTGGATTTGGACTATTTCTTACTATTCAAGACAGAGTTTGGGGGTCTAACACAGTTATTATGTGAGACGGAGCTGTTTGGGTTGGACAAATGAAGAGCAGACCAATTATCCATACAAACTAAGAGTAATCTGATTATGTTGTCCTCCGTGTCCCTTCACAGGAGACAGCAAAAATGCCCCAGCCAAGATTGATGCTAGTGATCACGGGAGATGATTTTGGCTACTGTCCAAGGAGGAACCAGGGGATTGTGGACTGCTTCCTGGCTGGAGGCATTTCCAACGTGTCCCTGCTGGTTAACGGCTCTGCAGCCAAGGAGGCTGCTGACCTGGCTAAGAGGTAGTGTGGTAATCTCTATCACCAACAGGATTAATTCATCCTTTAATCACAACTCCTGTTTTTCATTGGGCGAAGAAACCCAGTGGGATCCTCTAACTGACTGGAATAGATGTAATTCACCACAACAAGCTTTTAACTGCTAGTTACTGGAACCGTCACCAGTTTGTACTCCAGTAAATAACAGCAAAGTTGAACCAAACATGCCCCCCCCCCCCCCCCCCCTCAGATAAAAGAAACGTAGACATTATTATCATAGTAAATCATTGAATGGATCTTATAGGTACCAAATCCCCATTGGTCTCCATGCCAACCTGTCAGAGGGCACGCCTGTGGGCCAGAACCTCCAGCAGGCCTCCACACTCATAAACCCACAAGGCTTCTTCCTGGGAAAGGTTGGAATTCGTCAGGCTCTTGAGAGAGGCCAGCTCAGCATGACCCAGGTACATTTCTTCAGGGGGTCAGGTTTACTTTAGAGAGGACTACAAACATCCCTGTTACTCAAGTTTGTGTGAAGTTTTCCTGAGCCATGAAGTTGCAGACCTCCATGACACTCATTCCTGGGGTGGTGGGGTTTGTCCCTGTGTTTTGTACTCAGGTGGAGCTGGAGCTGAGAGCTCAGGTCAGACGCTTCATGGTGCTAACGGGTCACCTACCTTACCACATGGATGGACACCAACATGTCCACGTGCTGCCAGGTAATGATGGTAGTCCCCTCTGTGCTGACCCCCCCCCCCCCACACACACACACACACACACACAGGCTCAGTTTAGTAAACCCATTTAGATATCTGCAGCAGCTTTGTAGATGTATTCATTTATAGCTAATCTTCTGAAGCTTGGGAATGTTTGATTTTTCAGATTAAAACCCAAAGAGGAGTGTAAAGGTTCTCCTGCTGGTGCATCAGCGCCCCTACAGTCTTCTACACATCTTTGATTCTCCATCACAAAGAAGGGAAGCTGAGGTTGATTTTTGTTGCACTGTTTGTGTTGTTCAGACATACGTGAAGTTTTTGCACAAGTCCTGTCAGACCTAAGGATACCCTACACGCGTGTTCCCGTGGAGCCGGGTTTACACAGCTGCACATGGCTTCCAGCACACCTCCAGACCTTCTACAAGCAGGTGGAGAAGGATGCTCTGAACTCCATCCCTATCTTCAAACACTATAGAATCAGGTGTGTGTGTTTTGCTGTGGTGTAAACCTAAACAGGACTGTTGCCATTGCCAAGAATGCAGGGGCCTCATTATCAAGCTTGCTTACGCACAAAACGGAGTCGGAAAACTGCGTAAGCAACTTTCCACGCAAACTTTGGGATTTATGAAAGAAAACATAGCAGAAAAATGTGCGTAACTTTAAGCTGACTAAGGACCTGGCTTACACACATGTTGGACACGGAGAGCACCTGCAGTGCTGCTGCTGAGAAGATACAATTATGAAATCCTGCAGCATTATCACTTGTACCGCTTCGTTTTCTCACAGAACAAGACCCCTCCCACACACACACACACACACACACACACACAGCCTGAAGCACAGAATATCAGCAGGGAGACACATTGAGACAGAACATCATGCGTCGGTGACGGTGTGTGTGTCCTGTCACTGTGACTCGGTTGATCATGCACCCTGGCTAGTTGAACAGGGGAGATCTCTGTTTGGCTGACTGGTTAGCATGCGTGACTTTCACCCGGGAGTCTGGAGATCGAATCCCGATTGGACCATTTTCTTTATCTCCGCCACAGATCTCTCTGAAGAATTCACAACATTGACGGCTTCAGCAACGCTGTGCCACTCCGTGGATTTTCTCTTATTTGTATTGCAAAAGCACTTCCTTACATTTCTCCACCTCACCCACAAGTACCTCAACTTCTGCTTCTGTGAAAAAGCGCTTCCTTGATCTATGGTCGCCATGTCATTGGCGGAGCGCTGCAACAGCCGGCTTATGTATATGCATGTGATCCACAAGGCACTTTGCATTGACTATTTATGGCAGTAAGTGGGTGTGGTGAGGGCGGGATGTGACTAAAATGCAGTGCAGAATATGCTTTCCTTAAAGAAACACAGACATCCACCTCTTGTTGTCTACAAAAAGGGATCCAATCTATGGGACAAAGTGGTGAAAGCTAACATTCTGCGCCTCCCCCCCCCCCCCCCCCAAAAAAAAGCAGTTCTCGCTCCTTTGCAGCAAGGAAACTATCCCTGTGGAAACTGTGCTCAGTGCCACAACACTGTGAAAACATCTGAGTTCCGGCATCCTAGAACAGGAAAAAGATTATTTATTAAGGGCGTAATTACTTGTAACTCAAAGAATGTAATTTACTTGTTAAAAAGGCCCCTGTGATATCGTCTATATTGGTAAAACAACAGGGCCACTCAAACAGAGGATCAGTGAACATAAGAGTTCAATTAGAAGAAAAGACTTGACCTATCCAGTAACACGCCATTTCAGTGACTTTTCACACCCCGTGTCTTCACTCAGGTTCCAGGGCTGTTTTAGCTTGATGTTTGCTACAATATGTATAAATCTCTCCCCTCTTGAGTTGATTTTGAATGCTTTTAATGTTAAGTGCACTGTTTTCATTGACTGAGACTCTATTTCCCATGATGCTTTGCTGTAATGAGCCACCAGCCATGTTTGACATCAATGGTCCTGTTTAACTAAGGACTGTTTGTGCGAACCTCCACAACTCCTGATGAAGGTCTCTTACCGAAAGCTCGACAAATAAAGCCCTCACATCGCAGATTGAAGTGTGCGAATTCTGATCTTTTTGAATTTTGTTTTTAATTTTACAAAAACATGAAACAAAGTATTATTCTCTAACAAAAGCATTTATAGGACAGACTCTGAGCTACTGGAGTTAGTTTCATACCAACGTTTATTTTATGGCTATGGGACAAAATCTCAGCTGGCCCAGATTTTATAAAAAATAATCCCCGGACTGGTATCATTTTTTTTACTTTATTGATAATCACAATTGTGTATAGAAGTTAATGATGCAGATATGTGCATCATTCTGTAGATTTCCACTGAAGAAGACCTAGTAGAATTAACCCAGGTCTGCTCATAAACGTTTAGATGGCCTGAACTGTGATGCTGTTGGGTTAAAAGCAGGAATGTGACCCGTTATTAGGAACCACAATCATCCTGACTTCAAAACCTTAAAACTGTTCAGATAAAACTTGTTAAAAACCATTATTTCTTTCATTTATCTGCTCAAAAGCATGACTTTTTCAGGAAGCACATGGATAAGAAACGTGTTCATATTATGGATATGTTTAAAAGTGTAGCGTTACACTGTAAAAAGAAAAAGTTGATCCAACTTAAAAAAATGCTTCAATTGGTAACAAGCAATTTAATTAAGTTAATCCAACTTAAATTATTAGTACAATTTTAATAATTTAGGTTGGATAAACTTAATTAAATGGCTTGTTACCAACTGAAGCAATCCATACAGGTAGATTAAACTATTCTCTTTTTTCAGTGTAAGGAGTGTCTACATATGTTTTAAATGATCAATAAGATGTGATGATTCCATAAATATGAAATATCAATCTGATTGATCTTTGAATGTTTAATCAGAAGACTTTAGTTTCTTTTACTTGTTCAGGGACCATAAACACACTTCGTATTATTTCAGACAGAGTCAAGTTTAGTTTATAAAAACACTCATTTCTGTTTCCCTAAACTAATGATTATACAAGACAAGGTATGAATGATGATGGAATGAAATGAGGGAATGTGAGCTAGATGTTTTAGCAAAACCTTTCTTAAGTAACTGAGAGAGTTTGTGGAGTCTGGATTGTAAAATCATTAGCCTGTATGGTTTTATATGCACAACACAATTTTTGCCGGTCTACACACCCTAGTGTGAAGATTGCCAAGCGATCCAGGAGGTCAGGAGGTCGAGATGGACTCTGCCGGTGGAGTGTACTAGGAACACGTTAATTAGCTCCGAACGAGCGGTCCAGTCTGAGACATGCTCTAGGTAACGGCAGGAAGCTGGACTGTCTATTTCGCATTTAAGGCTGTTCGGTGGCTCTTAAAAGAGCCTTTGTGTCTGTAATCACTCGAGCGTTGCAGAGGGGCTTTTACCTTGAGGTCAAAATAGAGGAGGGTCTCACAATGCGTGCACACCTGGTAGGCCTGGTTGGGAGGCAGCTGAAGACTGACTAGATCAGGAAATAATTCTGTTTTATCACCTTCCTTGTTTATAAACTTTTACAAATCAGAATTTAACACGTTTAAAAACTACCAAAATACCTCAGAAGACACGCCTTCACTCAGATACTCAGAGGTTAACTCTTATAGTGTGAAGTGAGAATGTTTTACACATTTATGTGAAGTGAATGTTAAACATTATTAATCTTATATTGTGAATGAGTGTCCTGATAGATTAACCTGTTAAATCAACAAATACTGATCTGGTGTAGTTTAAGATCTGAAGTGAATCATTGCTGGAAAATATTCGTTTTTAACATCATTGATTAATGCACACATTATTCACACACTTTGGGATTTAAACATCTTGCTCATTCAACACATTTGATTATTTCAACCTATAAAGTTGTAAAGGCATTTATGATTCAAGGCAGATGAACTTTATTCAGAGTGAAAGTGCAGGAGTCTCCACTTGAGACCTTGAGCAAACCTAGTATGGCTTTGTAATGGAGTGGAGGTGAGGATCCACATGCGGGGAAGAAGGCAGGCGGACAGGAACGTTTTAAAGCGGTTTTAATAATGAGCACAAGGGACATGGAAACAATGAACGGACAAGGAACACAGAACTGGGTGGGTTTAAAAACTAAAGATTTAAAGATCTAAAGTGATTGGGAGAGGAGAGGCAGTTGGGAGCAATTAGGAAAGACACAGGACTGAACAGAGTGAGGAGACAGGACAGGCTGCGACAGGTTTCTTTGACTGGTTGCACGTCGCCTATCCCTGATTTTCTTCCTTGGAGGCAAAACAGATGTGATGCGTCCCTGGATGTGTGACGCAGTTTGTGGCTGCAAATTCAAAGTTAGTTTCTGTTCATGTTGATGAAAACATGACCTTTGATCCGGTACAACTCCACCCCTTTCCAAGGGCACGGGGTCACGGACAGAAGACCATGAGGCGTTGGACAACCTCAGAGGCCCTGAGGACCCAGCAGAGGAAGACAGAGTTAGTTCTCAGGCACCAAAATAGTAGAAGTGAGGAAAAGCAACCCCCACACAGCAGCATAGTCAATAGATATCCCAGTCAGCAAATTGTAATCCCATTTAGCGAATTCTGCAGACAGGGACCACAATGAGAAGGAAGCCAGAGCCATGAGGAGAAACAGACCAGACCATAGCGAACCACAGCGATCAACAGCAAAGCCAGGAGACAGGAAAACCCAGAGGACATCCAGAACTCCAGAAGAACCAGAACCCAGAACAGGAGGAAGCAGAAGCCAGGCGATGGTCGTATTAAGGCAGCAATATCATTCCCAGCAGCGAGGACATCTGGCGAAACTCAACAAAGCATCAAAACACACACAGGGCATTTGACCGTAGACCCTCACAGATGTCGTCCGATGTAAAAGAACAAATAAAAATACACTAGTACTATATGTACCCTATATGTGCTATGTGTATGGAGATTATGTGAGAAGAAGTCAGATGAAAGATGTGGATGCAGTAAACTACGTGTACTGGAAAAATGGTGCATAAACGAACAAAATAAACAAAACCCTAAAATATGTGTAAGGGAAAAGTGAAATACAAATTATGTAGTCAAAAATGGAAGAGCAAAATTATCAGTAGCTCAAAACTGACAAAAATGGAATAGAAATCAAGGAAAGCCTAAAAAGTTTGTGATAAAGTAATCAACGGTAATCAATGTGATGGAAATATGTATTTATGTATGTATATGTATCCCTAAATCAATCAATAAAATGAAAAATATAGTCTGGAAGACCACAAGAAGTTAATCAGTGTTAGTAATCAAACCCTATATTTGAATGTACCACAAAGGAATTAGAGATTAGTATTGTAAGAATGAAATCTAAAATGAAAATTGAATCAGAACATTTGTAAAAATTGTAAAAAAAAAAATACTTTTTAGACTTTTTAGAAATTGAAAAAGTAAAAATTGAATTTGGATGAAACAACAGTTAGCAGATTTTATCGCTTGTAATGAACTTACTCATCCCA